ATGGTACTGGAGTCTACAGTGAACCCTCTCATGACAGACTCCTGATGGTGAGGATACTCTGGGTTACGTTTCAGATTGCGTATGAAGTGAGATTACGTGATATTCTTTCATTGTCCGCACTGTTGAAGAGACACCCAGCACCGTATGTGCACGATGTCATCAGTATAGTTTTGTGCGATACTGTGCACGATGCTATTTACATTCCACATGTGTGTAGCACATTTCTGTTTGCTACTCTTCACTCACTCTCATCCACACATGTTCTTCCTCCGTCTGAATGGAGCTGTCATCCCTATAACGGCTTTTTGAATATCAGTGCTATTGGCTCTCTGATACACTGCTCTGCTGTAGCACTACCGTCCATCTTCTTCTGGCAATCCCCCTTATTCGGAGTGAAACTGGCTGCTCCATCTGGGGCCAGAGTAGGTGACAACTACACACTCCGTTCCCGATTTAAACCAGAACAGAGATTCACGGTAGTGAGACTGAAGAGACCCCGCTGGTACTGCAGCTGAAGGAGAAATATATCGAGGTTGTGGGTCGAGTTTCTAAGGTGATACTGAGCGGTCCACACGCGGGCCAGGGTGTCCACTTGTATGTAGGACTGTACACCAGTGAAGAGGTATATAATGTACTACTGTTATACGTGCAATCACACTACACTCGTTACGACTTTTCAGGTCAAATCATGCTATCTACACTTCCTCACACTCCATCACCAGTGGAGCAGTCCTCAGTTCACCCTCACCTGTATCTCCACTGTGGACCTGCGAACCACTGTCCCTTGGACCAGAGACTCCACCACTGCACCCACGTGAACCCAGACTGTGTTGAATGACCCAGTGACTGCAAACTATAGCTCACACGCACCTTGAATGTGCCCACAGCAGGAGATTACATATGTCCTGTGTCTAATATTGCGGTCCTCTGAGTCGGCTACATCCCGCATTAGAAGTATATTATGAGGTGTATGACGCTGATTTTATCAGGCAAGTTCTCCGGAACTCACCTCCCCCGCTGTGTGACAGCAGTCCAGATTGGTCCCACTAGTGTCCTAGTGTCTTGGAGTCCATCCAGTGATGCCACTGGTTATAGAATGACTATGAGGTGGGGCGTGATGATAGTCAGAGCTCGGTGCTGAATTCTACACGTTTTTACACTTACTAATCTTACTATTGGAGAGACCTACACCATTCCATGTAGCTACGTCTCCAACCAACTGGCAAGTTCATCTATAAACAAGTTAGAATAGGTGAGTCATAGGAAGGAAGTATAGTGTGTGACTTTTTGACACTGTGTTCAATTCTGCGTGTCGACTCCAGCCAGCCAGTGTGGTCACCGATGCCTTGAGACCACACGCCACTACAATAACTCTCTCCTGGGCCGTTCGCCTCCTGATGTACTGCTCTGAGGTGAGCTGGGAGCTAACAGAGAGAGGAAGAAGAAGACACGTTGCATGCTGAGGAAGGGACTAGTGGACGACCCTCTCTGCAACCAGAACCGTCTACACTATCGACACAGCTGAGCAGTGGAACAGCTATGACGTCACTGTCCACAGTCTTCAACCCTAGCTGGGACTCGTCCACGACCTTCACTACGTTTCGCTCTAACTGGGGAAGGAAGTGAGTTTCAGCAGACCTGTCACCCAACCCAAACAAACACACCTCTATCCTTATCCTACACCGACCAGCCACACACCCACCCGGTGTTCCCCACCTCGTCCCCTACTGAAGCAGGGAGGCTCCGGTGTGGACGGAATAGTGCTGGTGTCATACTGCATTGTCGCAGTGGTTTGCCGTGTAGCAATCCTTAGCGGGTGGTGTGGCTGGTCAAGAGAGGTGAGTTCTCACCTCCAGTCACCTGTCTGTATGTTTATATGTATTGACTCTGGTCTGGGTCCTGCAGGAGCAGACTGTCAGCAAGTATGTACCAGCAAGAGCGACAGTGTGCGCTTCTCTGCCAAGACGCAACGTGTCTTCTGATGAAGGTCAGTCCACACAGCTTTAACCTTAGTGATAATTTTTACTCAACCATCTTTTCCCTCTCCTTCACCCTCTCTCACACTCAGCCCCAGTGATAGTGGAGTTCCCAGAGGACACCCGAGTCCAGGAGGGAGAGGGGGTAGTGCTCAAGGTCGAGGTAACCGGAGTACCCCACCCCAAACTGACGTGGTACCACGGCGGATTAGAGGTGGTGCCGGATTACTCCAGAGAGCTGGCGGAGGACGGGACTCTCACACTTCCCTCTGCTGAGACCAAACACAGTGGAGTCTACCAGCTGGTGGCCAGGAACAGAGGAGGCAGTGTCGAGAGAGAGGTGAAGCTGCAGGTAGAGCAGGAGGGTGTGGAGGAGGGAATCGCTGCTGAGGAGCCGTCCTACGAGACTGTGGCTCTGAGTGGTCCGGTTCCCGTGGCTGTCTTCGGGAGTCACGTGGAACAGCGACACTCAAAGAACAACAAGCCATTCAAAGAGGAATATGAGGTGGGCTATGAATATCGTTGATATTCCTCCAAGGAATTGTCTTGGTATGAGTGGCTGGTCAAGCATTGGAGTGTGTCTGTGTGTGTCGTCTCCTTTTCTTACTCCCACTGGCATTACACTGACTGCTGTTACACTGATTGCTGTTGATTGCAGGGACTGCCCACCTACGCGGATAAGCCCGTTACCGTAGCTACCACTCCTGACAATAAACTCAAGAACCGCTTCGCCAACATCTGTGTCTGTGAGTACATCTCTCACTCTCCTTTCCCCTGTGTACATCTCTCACTCTCCTTTCCCCTGTGTACATCTCCCACTCTCCTTTCCCCTGTGTACATCTCTCGCTCTCCTTTCCCCTGTGTACATCTCTCGCTCTCCTTTCCCCTGTGTACATCTCTCGCTCTCCTTTCCCCTGTGTACATCTCTCGCTCTCCTTTCCCCTGTGTACATCTCTCGCTCTCCTTTCCCCTGTGTACATCTCTCGCTCTCCTTTCCCCTGTGTACATCTCTCGCTCTCCTTTCCCCTGTGTACATCTCTCGCTCTCCTTTCCCCTGTGTACATCTCTCGCTCTCCTTTCCCCTGTGTACATCTCTCGCTCTCCTTTCCCCTGTGTACATCTCTCGCTCTCCTTTCCCCTGTGTACATCTCTCGCTCTCCTTTCCCCTGTGTACATCTCTCGCTCTCCTTTCCCCTGTGTACATCTCTCGCTCTCCTTTCCCCTGTGTACATCTCTCGCTCTCCTTTCCCCTGCGTACATCTCTCGCTCTCCTTTCCCCTGCGTACATCTCTCGCTCTCCTTTCCCCTGTGTACATCTCTCGCTCTCCTTTCCCCTGTGTACATCTCTCGCTCTCCTTTCCCCTGTGTACATCTCTCGCTCTCCTTTCCCCTGTGTACATCTCTCACTCTCCTTTCCCCTGTGTACATCTCTCGCTCTCCTTTCCCCTGTGTACATCTCTCGCTCTCCTTTCCCCTGTGTACATCTCTCGCTCTCCTTTCCCCTGTGTACATCTCTCGCTCTCCTTTCCCCTGTGTACATCTCTCGCTCTCCTTTCCCCTGTGTACATCTCTCGCTCTCCTTTCTCCTGTGTACATCTCTCGCTCCCTTTCCCTGGTACATCTCCCTCTCCTTTCCCCTGTGTACATCTCTCGCTCTCCTTTCCCCTGTGTACATCTCTCACTCTCCTTTCCCCTGTGTACATCTCTCCATATCTGAAATCCCTCCACATCTTCTGTTCCAGATGATGACAACCGCGTAGTGCTGAACCCACTGGCCAAATATGACTCTGACTATGTCAATGCCAGCTATGTTGATGTAAGTCCCTCTCTTGTGGAAACTAAGGCTCCTGTCTAAACATAACCTTCCTCTCTAGGGCTACAGTACCAAGGGCAAGTTCATCGCCACTCAAGGTATGTGTGTGTGTGTGTGTGTTGTGTAAGAATGTATGATGTCATTGCCTCCTCCCCAGGTCCCCTACCAAAGACAGTGGTTGACTTCTGGAGGCTGGTCTGGCAGGAGAGGGCCCCCACCGTTGTCATGATAACGAACCTGGTGGAGGGGACCAAGATAAAGTGCCAGCAGTACTGGCCCGAGGGCGGGGCCCAAGGATTTGGACCGTTCCAGATCACCGTCACTGACCAGCAGACACTGGCTGACTATACATTGCGACGTATTCTGGTCCAGGTGTGCTTGTTTTATCTTTATGGTGTCAACATTGAATTTCACTCTCATTTCACTCTCATGTCAACGTTGAAATACTCTCATTTCATGGTAAACAGCTGAAGGGAAGTTCAGAGCGTCCACTGAACGTGAGTCAGTTCCACTTCACAGCCTGGCCTGACCACGGAGTGCCCGACTATGCCACGCCCATCCTGACCTTCCACAGGAGGGTGATGAAGGAACACAAATCTGGACCTATAGTCGTCCACTGCAGGTCAGCCCCTTAGAGAGCTATCTTTGCTGTACATAAGTTCAGGACATTCAGAGTGGAGTAACTAAAAGGGGTTTTCTACCGTCTTAGAATAATGGTGCATTTGGTTAAACCAAACCAAGGCCAAAGGAACCAACAGCACTCTTGATGTAGCATAAAGTAAGGCCAAGCATTATTACTAAGTGGTTAGAAGTAATGAAGAAAACAAACTTACCAACACTTTCAAAACAACTGGACTCTAACTTCGCTCCTTCTGAACTACACACACACTCTCTCCCCTCTCTCCTCTCCTAACAGTGCTGGAGTGGGCAGGACAGGAACATTCATCACTATAGACCAAGCCCTCGAGGCAGTGGAGAAGGAGGGGAAAGTGGACATCCCTGGAATCATAGCTAATCTGAGGCAGCAGAGGACCAAGATGGTTCAGACACCGGTATGTTGTGTTAGCTGGTCTCTCGCTGTCTCTCTCTCTGTGTTTCAGTTGCAGTGTTTGTAGTTGTGCTGGAGTTAGTCCACCTGTATACACCACATCACCAACACACTGGGGTGCTCTAGGGACAAACAAGGGACATTTGTATCGTCTTTTACTACTGCCCACAGGCTGTGTTGTGTTCAGATATGTTGCCCATAGCTTATGTCTTGTGTGGTGTTTACATTACCGTTGAATGCCTGGCATTCCTTGTGTCCACTCTGATGTGTAGGTGTGTGTGTGAGGTGCATTCCTTCTAGTAATTATTATTCTATTTCTCTATTTCCCTCTCATGGTGGTCACAGGACCAGTATATCTTCATCCACGATGCCATCCTGGAGGCAGTCACGTGTGGAGACACTCAGGTGGAGTCTGGAGACCTGAGGAAGATTCTGGGCCGGCTGCAGAGGCGGGACCAGTCAGGGAGAACTGATATGGAGATACAGTTCTCTGTGAGTCGACGGACAACATGGCACACCTCTCACCACTTTCTCTCTCCATTTCTCTGTCTGTCTTGTTAACTCTCCCAGGTGTTGGAGCAAGTTAGTCCCAACCCTCAAGATGCTAAGGTGTCTGTCGCTCTCAAACACCCAAAGAAAAACCGCTCCAAAAACTTCCTGCCTCGTAAGCTCTTCTGGCACTCTCTCTCAGTGATACATGTTCTATCGTTTGTCTGTTGTCTAGTGGACAAGTGGAGGGTGCTGATAAAGGGAGAGAGTCCAGATTATATCAATGCTAGTGTGGCTCATGTAAGACCTCTTTTTCTGAGTAGGTGTATGCATACTGAGGCTGTGTTCTGTAGGGCTACAAGCAGCAGAGAGCCTTCATCATAGCTCAGAATCCAATGCAGTCCACTGCCAGAGATTTCTGGAAGATTGCGTGCGACAGGAAGTGTGGAGTGTTGGTGATGCTGTGTGACCTGGTGGAGACTGGGAAGGTGGGAGGCCATACAGCAGTATTACTGTGGTGTTCATGGCATGTGTGTGTGTGTGCAGGAGACATGCTACCAGTACTGGCCTTCCAGTGGCTCCCTCACAGTTGGAGAGTTCACTGTGGACCTGATCCAGGAAGAAAGGCTCTCTGGATTCTCTATGAGGAACTTTGGAATCTACGATGAGAAGGTAAGTCTTCTCCTTCCTCCACTGCTCCAGTTGTGACCTACTGGTGTCACCCACAGAGCAACAAGTCCCACCAGGTGACCCAGTTCCACATCACCAACTGGGCACCCGATGGGAACTGCTCCAACATCAAGACCGTCACTGACGTGATTGAGGAGGTCGGTAAGGTGCAGAGGAGGACCGGCAATCACCCCATCATGGTCCACTGCAGGTACACTCTCTCTCTGCCTCAAGTTTTAACTACCATGCAAGCCTTTGCATATGTTTATTCTGCAACGTAGTGCATCTTTTCTTGCATACTTGTTGCTAATCAGAATACACTGAGAAACATACAAATTAGTGTGCAATACTTCCCAAGTGTTTTTGTCAATAATTATCCCTTCCTTTACTGCAATGCTGTGTGTGTTGTGTCCAGTGATACAGTGAGCAGGTCGGGGATGTTCTGTGCCATAGCCACCACCATTGAGAGGTGTAAGACAGAGGGAGTGGTGGATGTGTTCCAGGTGGTCAAGGCTCTCCGTGTACAGAAACCTGGAGCTGTACGCACTGTGGTACGTCACCTACTATCCCTATAAACCAATGTATTGAGTTACTCCCAATTTGTTTCATCTGCAGCTGCAGTACAGGATAATCTTTGAGGCTGTTTTGGAATACCTCGACTCATTTGCACTCTACTCAAACTTTTAACTGACTGAGAAATTATGATTGGTTTTGCAAACTTTGTCTCCTCTTACATGTAGCTTTATGCGAGCGGAGCGAGCAACTAGTTTTCTGTTGAGCGTATATGTCGTATGTGTCGTACGTCGTGTAAGTGCGCATGCGCGGCTTTGTACGCGCTTCTTTTTATCCGAAAATATTTCCAAATTTTTACGCATTTTCACACACGGTGCCGGCCATATGCCAGCTGCCTGGTGGACCACGACTGACGAGCTGAAAGCGTAAGGTAAGTACCGTTCTGCTCACCTGCTCACCGTTCTGCCAATGTACAGTACGCATGTAACGGCGACAGGTAGATCTGTCTTGCTTCAAGAAAAGAAAGCTGTGCGCTGACGGCACGTTATGCAGCCCGAACATCGCGGGCAAATCCCAAGTTGGGTCGCTCCCGCTCGCCAACATTGTTCAACATTTCCACTAGTATAAAGTTGTGGGTTTTACTATTTTTTGCTGTATAATAATAGTGTGACAAACATCAATGATTTATATTGACGACGCGACGCGCGTATATATTATGTACGTGGGAGTTTTATTGGCGAGGAATTTCCGACGCCCCGCGGGATTTTGCTGGTGCGAAAGCTCTTGTGTCGAGAGACTGATCGGCGGCCAGCGATGACTCTGACTCCAGGAACAACAGGTAAGTTCGACAGTATGTGCGTGCGAGTGTGCAGTGAGCTGATCCTGACGCTGTGCGAAAACCGCGGTTTTGTTGGCGAGGACGCAGAGCCCTGAGATCCACCCACTTTTTTGGTGGTGTCTTTTCTTTGATCTGCAGCAGGCAGAGCAGCTGTTTCACTGATTCTCCTCTGGTCTCTGGTGGAGGTCCACTCTCAGACCTTTCCTTATGTCTCCTTCATGGGCCAGACTCTGGCCAACCATTCCTATGTGGACATCAGTCAAGTGGGCAGTGGTAGTGACAGTGTTCAGTGTATCACTGACCTGGGCACATGTTGTAGTGGTGGTCAGGGTATCCATCGTGGAGACTGGTATTTCCCTGATGGAACTAGACTGGGGTTCTCTATTCTATTGATACTGGTGATATCTATGAGCAGCGTGTAGCTCAAGGAGTTGACCTACGTCGTAGGGATAATCCAACTGGTATCTATCGCTGTGATATTCCAACTAATGCTGTCCATGATGATAGTGACATCTCAGTGAGAGACAGACCAGTCTATGTGGGACTGTATACTGCCAGTGGAGGTTAGACTGCATTAATTAATTTTGTTTAAACTATAACTTGATATGTGTACTAATCAAGAGATTTGGTATTACAATTCAGGAGATATTTCAATATCTGGAGGATTGTCATTTGACCCTGACCAGCTGATCCTCACCTGTATCTCCACTGGTGGACCTGCTACCACTGTCACTTGGACCAGAGACTCCACCACTGTCACCCAAGGAACCCAGACTGTGTTGAATGACCCAGTGACTGCACAGTACACCCACACTCTGACTGTGACTACTGCAGGAGAGTACACTTGTACTGTGGCTAATTCAAGCAAGTGATGCTTGCAGAAATACAGGTTTCAGCTTGTGGACGGCCATCTTAGCCCTCACTGTGTATATACGTGTAGCGATACTCAGTACACATGTACATGCTTGTAAGCTGGGTTTTAGCTAGTACGGTTGCAGGGGGTTATCCCTTCTTTTTTAATGCCCTCCTGCTTAATGGAAACCATGGGTAAAATCATACTATCCAGCATGCATAATGACAGTGTATACATATTCAGCTGCAAACAACTTCACTAATGTTTTTCCCTTATCTGCTATTGTGTTGTGACCAATGTCAGTGGGAATGATGATATGTGGGTTCAGTGAGCATGTGTTCCTGTGTCTCGTGTTTTGTGTGTATATTTACTGCATTTGTGTATGTATGTATGTATTATGTAATTGTATGATGTTATTCTGTTAGTTCATGTGTTGTATGTGTCAGTGTCGTGTTGTGTGAGAGTGGTTCTGAGGACCAGTGGTACACTCTGTATGTTCATACCAGTGCTCTAATTGATGTGCTGCAAGTGCATTTGAGGCTAATATTCAGCCAGTGATAGTACCTCAGAATGGCCACCTCACATTGCACACTGTGTTTGTGTGTGACACAGTACACATGCTGTGATCTCAACCACCAACTGAGCCACTGAATAAACTGTACTAAGTGCCCAGCAAGTCCCCTCAAGTGTATGGCTTTTACACCACCTTAAACAATTGGCTACAGCTTACGTATTTCCTCAACCCTCAAATAGACACTGCACTGTAGGTGCTGAAAACATTGGTAGCCTCTGCCTCTATTCACTGTGTTAAAAGGTTGATTGGCTGTGATATACGCCACAGAGTGGTGGAGGAGGAGGGGGCAGAGAGAGTGGCACAGGTACATCAAGAGCTGGAGAGAGTTAAGGTATATAAATTTTTTGTGTACCTTGTTTTTGTTCTCTGTGTGTGTGCTCTGCTGCTTGCTGCACAAGGATTGGTAGGTTTGCAAGTCCTGTTAAAAATCAAAAGCACTAAAGTGCAAACCCTCGGCGAACTGCGCATGCGCAGTACCGCTAATGGATGGGCTGGGCTATTGGTGTTTACTCGCGGTCTCCCGCTAGTAGCTCGCAGAGAGTCTGACACGGGCTAGCTGCAGTAGTAGATAGCATGCGGGAGAGTCGATACACACCCTTCGCTGTGGCTTCTTGTGCCTCCAAGGTAAACAGAGCAAGCGGATCAGGTCGAGGTAAGCCAGCATACTGCGTTGATCGCGTCTAATACACGCATGCGCACCGCTTATTGATGGGTTGGGCCACACAACGCTATCCGCGACCGTGCCAGTTTGTCGCTCTCGAACGCAGTCGTTTCAGCAAAATCGCCATTTAAATTTTCTAGCCCATGTACCGCTAAAGCTGTTGGTATCACTCATAAGCCGCCTCGTTGCCTGTAGTGTGAGAATAGTCGTAGACAGACATACAGACAGACAGACAAACAGAACGACTACCGTAACCCTCGCTGCGCATGCGCGCCGAGGGTTAATAAACCTGGGTGCCTTTTACGTTCATATTTACCAAGTCTGTGGCATGTTTCTGGTTATTGACTTGCAGCAAACATAAGCAGTCGTGTAAGTATAGGGGGGAACATGTAATTATGTATCTGTGTAGAGCATGTGCAACATGTATACTTCTATGCACCAGGAGGAGCTGGTGGAAGTGAGGGAGGTGGTAGAGGAGCAGCAAGGAGTCTTGAGGGAGAGAGAGGAGGAGAGGGAGAGACTGAGTCTCCAGGTCCAGGCAGCTGTGTCAGGGGAGAGGGATAGGGAGGACCAGAGGGACAGACAGCACCGCGAGGACACTGCCTCTCTCGCCATTCTCCAGAAACAACTGAGTGCTCTCACCAATGAGAAGTACATAAGACGTCCGTGTTAACTTAAAACGTTTGCACCACCCAATTTGGATTACGCAGATTATTATTACATCAGGAACACATGATGTCTAAAGTATTAATTTACATTTTGGTGAACCGAGCTTACCGAATCGCGCACGCTTCTAATTTTTCCGACATTACTGTAAGGTCCTACGTGATTCAAAAACGTGCATGGATCAACTGAAATGTCACAGTCATTCCTCCACGTGACTGCAACCCTTGCTCATCCAGTAATGCAAAATGCACGTAGATGTAATGTACACAAAAAGCAAGAGTGTGTTGGTCACAACGTGTGTCCTCTGTATTATGTTGCAGGGAGGCTCTGGAGTCATGTCTGGTGATGCTCCAGTCATCAGTGTCGGGGTGTGTCCAGTTGGCCAGCCTCGTGGAGCAGACTCTCTCCCCTCCCTCCTCCACAACCACCACCTCCCAGCTCTGGCACACTCCTTCTGCTAAAGTGTATGTTGTCTACTACTATTCCTACATACTTACTATGTTATTGTATGTATGTATGTATGTATGTATGTGCATGCTTCATAATACTTTCACAAATCACTTAAAACCAAATTTTTACGCAAAAAAGTGTAACGAATGTGTAGGTGTATACGCAGATGGTTAGCTATATATATATAGGTTAGACATATACCCACGAGAAGGTTTAGTGGACATACACTACGAGTGAGTAGCACGAGTAGTGTATGCACTAAACCATCCAGTGGGTGTAGTGTAACCAATTTGTACCGCAGGAATGCACACTAAGACAACTTATTAGTATGCATGCCATGGTGTATGAGAGCTCATACACCACATGTGAGTGTATGCTGAGTCAGCACACCATACACCATGGCATGCATACTAATAAGTAATAGTTAATGTACGGAAGTCAGTGCTGTGCGCGTAATAATGGTACG